CCCACCTTCAGGGCTGACAGGCTGACAGCACCACTGTACGTCCTTTGGAAACTCAGGGCTGAGTGAGGACAGCAAGGCTGGAGGGGCAGGAGGTCTGCAGGGCAATCCTCAGGCAGTGTTCAGCAGTCTGGACCCACTTTTAGTAAATGGAATCCTACACCATGGAGCACTTTCCTGAGAACCTTCGCTCTCTATGGTCATGGCTTATGTTGTACAATAACCAGGAATCCTGATGAAGATAATTAGCTGAAAAACATGTTATCAGAGGACATGAATGTGAATTGTTCCCCATTTTCAATAATTATGAGATATTTTACACACACACACAAGAAATTCAAGATGTCATAAGTCTTTAAATTCTAGAATTCAGTTTCTCAACCTCACCATGCTGACACAATGATTGTGTGTTGGGCTGGGAGGACTATCCTGTGCTGACACAATGATTGTGTGTTGGGCTGGGAGGACTATCCTGTGCTGACATAATGATTGTGTTTTGAGCTTGGAGGACTGTCTTATGCTGACACAATGATTGTGTGTTGGGCTGGGAGGACTATCTTGTGCTCTGTACAGTGTTCAGCCACATTCAAGCTGTACTCACAAGACCTGCACAGCACACACAGCCTCAAACTCCCTAAAATGTTGGCCTAGGGAAGAGCATTACGAAATGGGGAATGAGTGCTCTAGTTCTACAGGGTTTTTCCATATCTTTTTGGATGTTTGTTTAATTGTTTGGGGCAGAGCATTGTATATTCCTGACTGTCCTCAACTCTTACTCCTTCCTCCAACTCCCATGCTGAGATTGCAGCCATACACCACCATGTCCGGCTCTCAAGTACACATGTGTAATATAAGGAAATCATACATTTTTTATCTCCCCACAAAATTCATAGACAAATTTTCATTTTATCTTTCTTTCCCTCATGCCTCTGCATATAGCAGGCTAGCTAGCCTTTCAGGGTGCTCTTGGCTCCACCTCCCGTCTTGCAATAGGAGGGCTGGGGTTAGAGCTGTCTCTGGCCCCACATAGTTTCATGCCTGAGCACCGTACACAGTGAGCCATCACCCCAGCCCCCACTGATACATTTCTCTGATAGTTTAGTGTGTGACCTCATGACCTTTATGACTGTGCTTCATGAAGTGTGAGACCCCAAAGGCCACAAATAAAAGAACAGGAAGTCCTGCTGGATGTGGTAGCATAAGTCTATATTGCCAGCACTGGGGAGGCAAGAGGCATGAGGCTTGTTCACGGTTCCAGGAGTTCCAGGCCAGCCTCTGTAGTGAGTGGTGCTGGCAAAACTGAATATTACTATTCAGGAGAACGACACTAGACCTTTAGTGACACCACATGCAAAGTCAACTCAAAACAGATCAGAATTTAAGAACTGAAACTAAAACTACTAGAAAAATGCAGAGAGCAAAGTCTCCATGACACTGGACTATAGACAAATACACAGAGGAAAGTCTCCATGACACTGGACTATAGAAAAATACAGAGAGCAAAGTCTCCATGACACTGGACTATAGACAAATACACAGAGCAAAGTCTCGATGACACTGGATGTTTTGGGCATTACTACAAAACACAAGCGACAAAAGCAAAACGGACAAATGGGATTAATATCAAACTAAAAGCTTTGCACAGCAGAGGAAACTATAATCTAGATAATGGAGAGAAAGGGAGAAAGTATTTTCAAATTACACATCTGACGCGGAGTTTACGTCTAAACTCCAACACGGTGATATTGACTTTTTAAGGAATGTAGACAATTCAGTGACAAGGACACATGCTACTTAAGAAATAGGCAAACACACAAAAAAGACATTTCCTCCCCTGGAACACCAATGTGACCTACTAGTGGTACATGAAAAATAAGCATAGGTACACATTTGAGAGGCCTCCTCGAGATGGAAAAAGTGTCAGTTACCAGGGGGCTGGACCAATGGTTTAGAGTATTTCATACTCTTGCAGAGGACGTGGGTTCGATTCCCAGCACACCGGTGGTGACTCACAACCATCCCTAACTCCACTTTCAGGAGATCTGACACCTTCTTCTGGCCTCCACGGGCACCAGGCAAGTATATGCTACATGTCAGTTGTCTAGGGAAAACACGCACAAATATGAAAAAAAAACTAAATAAAAATTTTAAAGTGACCATATCAGCAAGATAGCATAAGGAGTACAATGATGTGGAAAAAGCACATTATTGGAGGAAATGCAAATTAATACAGTCATTGTAGAAAACAGCATGCTGTAGGCCCAAACAAATATGAATAAAACTTACAAACGGTCCATGGATGACATTACTGAGTAGAGACACAGAATGGAAATAAAATCAGTGTCTCCAAGTGACACTTACAGTCCTGCATTTATT